ACTAGACTAAAAAATGTTTTTTCCAAGGATCTTTCCATATAAAATTAGACGAAAAATTTGGGGAGAATCCTCCAGTCGAATCCACGGCTTTTAGATACCTCTTACTCAGCTAACAAATGTAAAAAAAAAAATTGTCCTAAAAAACATTCGGTTTATAGCTAGCACCACCTGCTGAACTGCATTGCACCACACCTCCGCTAAAGCGATACAATCTTATGCAGAGCACACACAAACAGAATAAATCCGCTGTCGGCACACACACATTGACAAGTTTACGCGTGCAAATTACTCACACAAACAAGCATTTCATAGTACGAGTGTTCTCCGCTCCTCTTTATGCACGAAGTTCGATTTTCAAATATGCAGTGACGTCATGACAAAACAAAACAATAATTGCTAATACCTTGTGAAATAATATCTCTATTTTGAAAATTTTGGTGTCTACCGATAGATATTACCGAAACACACTCAGAGTCTAACTGAGGCCTAACTTGTCTCAGAGTGATTTCCCGATTTGTAGGCGTTAGACTGGGCGTGATAAAAATAACATTAATAATTTTTTAATGGCCCTAAATGTTACCTACACTGCAAACTGCTGAAAGAAATTAGAATACTATCTGCTAGGATATACAGATTTAAAATTGCTTACTTTAGTTATATTTTGTTATATATTTTTCAAAAACAACCGCAAAAACAAATTGCTACACATACTTTCGATACCCAAATTCAAGCAATCACTAAAAAATGGAAAAAAAAAATGTTGTCAGGCTAGCATACTCATATTTCAGCATGTTAATACAATTAGTATTATTAGTAACAGTAGACAAAACAATAAATAACAATCGCTCAATAAACGCGTTACCGATTTAGACAATCGGGACTGTTGCAACATTTATCATAACGTCATGTATATCTAATAAATCTCACCTGCAGTCTCCTCTTTTCTTCCGCATTAGGAACTTCAATTTTTTCACTCCACCCGGTACTCCACCGGTACTCAATAATTTAAAGTTATATTTCAGCAAGTGTGTAAGGTATTGCGTTGCTGGATTAATTAATTCTGATTGATTAATGGCTTTTAGTTTATGTTGACGAAAATAGTTATCCGATACACAGTTACCTAAACTAGTAGTTTAAAAAAAATTAATAAAAAAATTAAATGAGTTGGATGATGCCACCTAAGACCCGACTGTTTTCTGTGTGCATATTTATTTTAAAATTGATTTACCGAGTAACGGGTATCTCAGTCTATGCTCTGTGAGTGTGTTTCGATCTTATCTATCGGTATATCAATTTTAAAAATCTAGGTATTACTTTAGAAGTTATTAAGTCCTTTGCGGTGCTCTGCCATCGCTCTTCCACCGCTCTGCCGCAGATCGTCCGCGGCCCTGCCCTTGGTTGCAAATGTAGAGAAACAGAACAAAAGAACTGTTAGCGGGTGTTGGCTATGCAGTTTTACTCCGATTGTTTTGATATGACAGTCGGCCGATTTTATTTAAATTAAAAACGTAATTCTGAAATTACTTTATCTTAAAGAATATTAATTAAAAATGGAAAAACAGCGAAAATTCCATTTTTTACATTAATTGTTCATATGGGAGCTATATGATAAAATCGTTCGATCAGGCTTATTCCGACTTATATACCTGCAATAGAAAGAAAAGACTAGTTTGCGTAGAAACGAGCGGATAGACGGACAGACTGACAGACAGACAGACGGACGAACAAGTTCGACTCTCCTAGTTATGTTAAACAAGAATATATTTTAATTTTTTTATTTTAATTTTTGATTACAAACGGGAAAACTTTTTTTTAAAACTTCGGAATTGAGGGGTGTAGTTTGACTTCGGGCTACAAACTACACTATATAACTCTGTTTCTGGGAAAGTTAGAGGAAAGGGAGTAGCGCATAATTTTGTGCTAATTTAGCGCTCTTGAACTCCGATCAAAATTTCATGCTCAACGGGACCATATTTAAACATTTACAGGGGCTATTATAATTTGAGTCAGAAAAAGTCAGTGAAGAAACCATTTTTGAAAATATATACGATTTTGCAAATACGCTCTGGCAATTAAGTCTGGTTGTATGATGTAAAAACAAATAAATAAATTCTTGCATATGCGGTGGAAATAATTTTTCCTCAATTTGCGGTAAAATTTTCTATTTTTTATTAGCATATTGGCGAAAATTATACAAAATGTAATTTAATGGTATCAAGCTAATTTGAAAACAAAAATAAGTAGAAATATTTTATTACCTAAATACCTAACATATCAGATTTGAAAGATAAATACATATCTTTACCTAAGCAAGGTATGGGCTATCAAAAAATGGTACTTAGGTACGTACAAAGGTAGAACTATATAGGTACACCCCAACACTGGTCGTAGTTGTATTTGAATACTTGAAGATGAGTTGGCTTAAAAATGACCTCTTGAATTGTTTTCTTGAGTCAAAATGGTTAACTCATTAACTTCGCGCTTAACTTATACTTATACTGGACGATTTCATTTATAATCGATTATCATCATAATTTACGATAGCTCGTCAGGTCAGTCTCATAAAAGCAACCTATGTTTTAAGAGGTCACTCCAAGTGATGATTTCAAAAAATTGAAATTTTTGTAGTATTTATAACACCTAAAACATTTGCAAGGGATGTGAATCAAGTTGTTTTTACATATTCGTAAAAGATATAACACTGAGGAGCAAAAGTATTCTAGCAGATTGTTCTTGGTTTTATTGGCACTTTCAAACGCAAATTTTTCGAAAACATGTTTTTTGAACTGTCGACCACGATTTAGCAAAAACGATTTGACCGACAACATTAAAATGTATAGGGTATATTCCGCACACGTGTGTCTATCGCCCGAACCTCCTAGATTGATTTATTTATATTAAAAAATAACAAAAAAATCTTTTATTTTTTAATTTAAAGCTTTTGTCAAAAACCCTAAATTTAATATTTTTTAAACCGTTGATGTTCCGTCGAAAGCCACTGGCTCACAGATTAAAGGCTTTTTACTTTTTTGCCAAGCCATAAGTCTGAATCTTGGTCCCACATTTTTTTAACAAGGTAGTTTGTAGTTTTTGTGTAGTTAAGATATTTAATAATATATACAATAAATTTTTTAAGTTCTAAGTTTTCCAGGGTCCACAAAAAAATCACAAAAAAAGCTTAAGAAACGATCCGTCTCGTTAGGTTACCGCCGTAGTTGAACAAGCTGAACGATAAAATTGATTTGTAATCTTTATACCCTTGCAGAGGGTATTATAATTTCAGTCAGAAGTTTGCAACGCAGTGAAGGAGACGTTTCCGACCCTATAAAGTATATATATTCTTGATCAGCATCACTAGTAGAGTCGATCTAGCCATGTCCGTCTGTCCGTCCGTCTGTCCGTCCGTCTGTCCGTCCGTCTGTCCGTCTGTCCGTCCGTTTATATGCAAACTAGTCTCTCAGTTTTAAAGCTATCTGCATGAAACTTTCCCAAAAGTTGTCTTTCTATTGCAGGTAGTATATAAGTCGGAACGAGCCGGATCGGACGACTATAGCATATAGCTCCCATAGGAACAATCGGAAAAATAATTGAAAAAAAATTATAACTTTGCTGTTTTTTAATTTTTTGTTTAGTTCTTCGACATATAGCAATGGTTAAATATTTCAGAATTATGGTTTAAATTTCATCAAAATCGGACGACTATAGCATATAGCTCCCATAGGAACAATCGGAAAAACAATTGAAAAAAATTATAACTTTGCTGTTTTTTAATTTTTTGTTTTGTCCTTCGACATAAAGCAATGGTTAAATATTTCAGAATTATGGTTAAAATTTCATCAAAATCGGAAGACTATAGCATATAGCTCCCATAGGAACAATCGGAAAAACAATTGAAAAAAATTATAACTTTGCTGTTTTTTAATTTTTTGTTTAGTTCTTCGACATATAGCAATGGTTAAATATTTCAGAATTATGGTTAAAATCTCATCAAAATCGGACGACTATAGTATATAGCTCCCATAGGAACAATCGGAAAAATAATTGAAAAAAAATTATAACTTTGCTGTTTTTTAATTTTTTGTTTAGTTCTTCGACATATAGCAATGGTTAAATAATTCAGAATTATGGTTTAAATTTCATCAAAATCGGACGACTATAGCATATAGCTCCCATAGGAACAATCGGAAAAATAATTGAAAAAAAATTATAACTTTTCTGTTTTTTAATTTTTTGTTTTGTTCTTCGACATAAAGCAATGGTTAAATATTTCAGAATTATGGTTAAAATTTCATCAAAATCGGAAGACTATAGCATATAGCTCCCATAGGAACAATCGGAAAAATAATTGAAAAAAAATTATAACTTTGCTGTTTTTTAATTTTTTGTTTAGTTCTTCGACATATAGCAATGGTTAAATATTTCAGAATTATGGTTAAAATTTCATCAAAATCGGACGACTATAGCATATAGCTCCCATAGGAACAATCGGAAAAATAATTGAAAAAATTATAACTTTGCTGTTTTTTAATTTTTTTTTAGTTCTTCGACATATAGCAATGGTTAAATATTTCAGAATTATGGTTTAAATACGCAAGTAAATCATAATTTTAATGTTTTCAAAAATATTTAATTCTTGCGATAGCTGCAAGGGTATATGAACTTCGGCTTGCCGAAGTTTGCTTTCTTTCTTGTTTTTAAATAATTTTAAAATTTTTAACTTAATTTTTTTCTCTCACAGCAGGTTTTAGATGCCCTGATCTCCAATATTTAGTATTATTGTATATTTTGTTAAATAACGCCTGCTAGGTGATTGCAGTATTCCTGTTCCCACAGAGCACACCATCCACAATCCATTTTATCTTTGCTTAAGGGTCCAAAAGGTTTTTTTTGTTTGTTTATTTCGATACTTAGCCGATAGCTTTTCCGTCCAACCAGAAAATCTTGGCGCGCAACAATTTAATTTTGATCATCTTCCCCTTTGTAGAATAAGAAGTTTTGGGTTTTTCAGGCAGCTTATCTGATAAACTAATTAGTTTAATTTTTTAAACTACAAAAAAAGCGCCCCATAATATTTAACTTATATTGCGCTATCATTTTCTGAAAGATTGCAATAATATGACATGTTGAAAGGCACTTTAACTTTAAAAACAAGGAAACAACTTTGCCCGTTAATATTACTACTTCCAAATAGTCAAAGCCAGCTGAAAGACGACTTCTTTTGCAACTTTTGTAGAAACAACTCAAACACTGATCGTAACATATAAGTATTTTCAACAAGGATAATTAGTTTAAAGAATTAACTTTTGCTTAACAAAGTTTTCCGAACAGTTGAGGTGTACGAAGAGCACTGCCGCCGCCAAACGTGATTGCAGCTCCTGCTGACTGAGATCGTGGGCCCACTCCACGCGACCCCAGAACTTAAGTTGGTACTCCTCCTCCAGGCGGGCCAGGGCCACCGCCTTCTCCACGGTCAGCATCTGCTCGATGACGGCGCAGGCCAGGATGATCGACTTCAGGGTGTCCACGGCGAAGATGAAGCCTAACGTAGGATGGAATATGAGTAAATGTGTTGCACTCAGCGACGACTGCAATGTTACCATGCAGCGTTTCCAGGCTATATGACTGCAAGTGCTTGGCGATCCTCATCTTGTCCTGCTCGCTGACCTGTGGCGGCGTAATGTCCATGGTCTTCTGCAGGTTCGTCTCGAAGCGCTGGTTAAACCAGGCGATCACCGGGTCCCACTCGTTGACCTGCAGATCCTGCAGGTCCGTCTCGTCCTGCAACGGATACAAATCAGTAAAATCAGTGAATTTAGTGGAGCCCCAGACAGTGGCCTTAGCTGCAGTCACCCACATCGTACTGGAAGAGCACCGTGTCGGTGGCGATGAAGTTGAGCAGGTAGTTGACCATGTCCAGCTTGCTCAGCTGGTTCGGATTGTCGATGGCCGTGAAGCAGAGGGCGGACAGGTGCATGCGGGATCGCTCGATGTGCTCCTTCTGGGCGTCGAATTCCGTGGCCACGGCAATGGCCAGTGGCTCGCTGCGCACGACGAAGGGCGATCCCTTGGGCGTCTTCAGCTTCCGGTGGTCCAGCACCACCTCGTAACCGCCGTCGCCGCTCAGCACGGACGTCTTCTTGTAGAATCGCTTCGGTGGAGATGCTGCCATGGGTAAAAAAAACAAACAACATCACGCCGTATGCCGGCTTGTTATGACATTTTTTGCGCGGTGTTACCGGAGAAGTTGACACCTCTTACCGTAGTGGCGCACTGTGATCCCGGCGGCAGGAGCTTGCCACTGGCGACAGGTGCTCACCCTAAGGGCCCGGATGACACCAAGCATCAGCTTTCCATTCATATTTTAAACTTTTGTCGGTTTCGGCCCTTTCCAGGTGCTGTCTAGCGCAATTCAGTTTGCAGTGTGCCCGTCGCTCGTTTTTCCTAAAATACCGTAGCCCTTTCACACTTGTGTTTGGGGTTTTTTAAATTTTTCCGCGGGAAAATAGATGGCGCTGTAAGCGAAATTTTGAGAAAACTTAAATTTATTGAACTAAAAATTTGTACACGTAATAAGTTATATTTTAATAGCCGCTTTCCACAGAGATCCATCCACTTTCCAGCAACCATTGAACGGATGATTTGGCCGATCCAAAAAATGTTCAGCTAGTTTTGACGGAATAATTTATGCAACATTTAGCCAATATTCTTCAGGTGCAGCCCTTTTCCCAGGCAAAACCATTGGGATTTTTGAAATAGTGATAATCCGATTTCCACAGAGACATCCAACATCACCCTTCCGATTATAGCATATTGATAACATTCCCAAAACAATCATATTTCGATAGCTATCACGAACGCGATAGTGTATCGATAAGCCTTAAATAAGTTTGCTCATCCCTATCTAGGTGATGTTGCCAGATCTTCCCAATTACTTCGGCGCTCTTTTAAAACGACTTTCAAAAAGCAACCTATTTTGGTCAATACCTTATTAACTATTAACTTAAATCACAATGCATAAAATGTGTATTTCAGTAAGACCTTAAATGTTGTTTGTAAGTGTTTGTTGTTAAAGTACATATTTGTAAGAAATTGTCAGAAGACCAAAAAAACAGGTTTTTACCGTTAATTTTTTAAAAAATCGGTTTTGCAAACTTTTACTTTTTTATTCGTAATAATGACCCCAAATCTCAGGGGGCCTACATAATTACAGCCGTAAAAATATATTTTTGGCTTCAGAGGCTTTTGTTATAAATAATTTTAGTAACACCTAAAATCGGGTGATGCTTCTTGAATTGTTTGTACGACCAATTCACAATGTCCTTAACAAAACTAAGGACTATGCAAATTTAACGACGCTTTCGAATTGTGTTAATTAATTATTTTAGTTTTTAAAATTAATTAAGTCAAATTAAAAATTAAAACTATGAAACAAATCCTTCACATGTGGTATGCTTTAGATTTTTAATCAACATAACTTTAAAAAATGTAAAAAAAAAATTAGATTTTTTTATTGTGTCCCTTTCGTGTTTTGCAATGTGCTTGAGTGCTAATCAAATAACGTATGCGATAAGACCATAAAGACCAATTAAAGCTTAGATGAAATAGGTAAATCAAATTTACTTCAAACATTGAGTACCATATTTGCAGTTAGAGTAATCTGAGATCAATTCTCCCTTCAAATTATCAGGATACAACATAAAATTCCAATTCCAGATTCAGTCTTCATCCGATCTTTTTGTTTCTGCTTTCAAATTTCTAACCATTCGCCTACTTAAGAAGACGATTCTGAGGCCCTGGCGTTGATCAATTTTCCAACGATTAATATTTGAAAACTGTTGAGGGAGATATACTCGAGGATTTGAAAGATTATGATCAAAGTAATTTGGAAATTTTTTGAGTCAGAGGATCGGAGATTTATAATGCCAGATCTTGAAAATCGACATACTTCTCGTTAAAGTTCGAGTTCTGCTCGCTCTTTGGATAGCAGTTTCATGGGATTGGACACACCTAGCTTGCCACCATATGTCACTTGGCCAAGATGTTTCCCTCCTGTTCCCGGCTGTGCTTATCCGCAATCCCACTGTCTGAATATCGATAGCTCAGGGAGAGCCAGCTTGAACGATGTGTTCCAGACCCGAATCGTTTATATGACGGATTACAGGCCGATTTGATGGGTGGCCAACTAGTTCCACCACTCTGTGCCTGTGTTTGGCGAAGGGTGCTGTTGCCAGAATTTGCCATATGGTGAAAAATTTGTAGCTGTTAATAACCCTCCTCCTAGCACATCCAATCTCTTCTGCTATCCAACTCACACCACGTGCTATGATGGATGTGGTTGCTCCAACGGAACCGAAACCCATGGAAGCGATGGTATACGCAGCACAGTTCCGTCTGTTTAAAAACCGACTTCTAGAATATCCATTAGCTAAAGGACAGTCTCCTTTTGTCCCGGATTCTGGTGTCATTTCCCAAGCGGTTTTCAAAGGAAAAGCTGCTGCCTGTACTAACCAACATGCGATCTTTGAGGTAAATTCTGAGAAAACATTTTTTATCTTCATTAAACTACTTAGCAATCCACAAAACAAACAATTAATTACACATTTTAAAGATTTTTTATTACAAAATATTGCATTGACAATTTTCTTTTAATTGTTCATCAATTAAAGGTTGAATTTAAATTACATTTATTTAAAAGCAAAATGAACATAAATATTTACTAGGGGTTGAATTGGTATGTGGCAAAATCGAACATCACAAACGAAGAAAACTTTAGAACCTTCAACTTTTGGACTTCATGATTTTGAGCTAACTTTAACTATTTAAGCAATGCACTTAAGTAGACAAATTCCAGCCGTATATATGCGTTAGAAAATGTTTCGAAAACGTGTTTTCTTTGAGTTTGTGAGCGTTTGAAATGCTTGGGAAATTATAACATAATTTTGATTTTATTGGGCTTAACTATTTGTGTGGAGGTTATCATTATTTAACTATGGTAAACTGTTTATTGATATTTAGTTGGGGCGTTTTATTCATTAAATTAACATTTAACTATTTTCAATTTTACTTAAAGTTTACATTGACGGACAGCAGCGGGATAGGGCAGAAGACCACGATCGTCATGAATTGAGATCCTCATGTAACAACGAACCGATAAAAGCAAGTAACTTATAAAAAAAAATCAGTATACAAAATATTCGGATGAAGAAATTAAAGTATGAGCTCATTATTAGATTAAACATCGTGTATTTTAAAAACCGAAAGAGTTAATAAAGCAAAGCCCTAAATAACACGATTCAGATCAAAGTGACACTCTCCACAAGATCTCTTGGCCTTCTGCCATCAACTTTAAGTATGCATAAGTGGTTATCTTTGCGTTATACAAGTTTATTATATTTGGAATCAAATGGGTTTTTTGTCGCGTGTGAATTCTCTGGTGGGGCAGGAAGTTTTACAATTAGCTTACTCACATATAGACACACACTTACGCAGGAAACAACTATCTAGATATAATAAAAAATTACTTTTGATGTATGGTTTTGTGTATTTACGTGTTTTGAATCCTGTTGCAGGATTTGCTTCAGCTATTTAAGTAAGATTTACATAATAAAAATAATTATAAAGAAGAAGTTAATACAAAACTTAACTCGAATTTAAAGTGATACATTTGATTTATGTATGTAGTTGTGTTTTTTTTTATGCAACAAACAGCATAACTGGAATAGTCTTAGCCAACCAGGATGGCAATTTCGAGTGGTCTTTTGTTGTGTTTATTTTTGCGAACATACATATCTGGCTGAAGATATATATTTAATATATGTAGACATGGGTGAAATTGCACTAAAACTAAATGCTACAACATTTAAAAATTGGATTTCATTATCCGTCTTCTAATAATGAATATATATATATATATATATATATATATATATAGATACATTATCGAAAATTTCAGCAGCTCTCCCTCAAACCAAATTGGTTTTGGCATTTCATTAAAAATACATTGAATATATGCCCTTAGATTGGTAGGTATAAAAATGTCGCTAGCTGATGTAACTAAATTTAATTTTATGCCTTTGTGTTTTTTATGCCTTTTCGTTTTTATGCTTTCGTAATATAGTAAAAGTAATCTTTAATAAATTTTTAGTCTTTTCATTTTCCATGTGTGCTTTAGTGTACACTATACATAAGTCAAATATGTATATATATATAGCAAAATCAATATATACTTTTCTTACTGAAACTCTAGCCAACAACAACAGCAATCTGGGGCCCTGCACATGGCTTATATCAAAATATATATTGGTGTATAAATTTGGCAATCTTGCGCTTAGATTCAATCTCGACCAGTGGGCCTGATGTGGCTGCTATCGTGGCTTTGGTTTTTAGGCACATGTTTCCAGAGCTTACAACTAAGAACTTATCTCTAAAATATACGTATCTAATACTAAATATGTAAAACTTGTTTTGCCAACGGCAGCAGATTTCTATCTCTGTCATCAATTGTCAATGCTCTCCGCGCAAAAGTTCCATCAGCAAATTGAAATCGGCCCCATCGCGAGTCTTGATCGTCAGCATCTCCTTGCCCAGCTTTAAGTAAATAGAATACAAATTTATACAAATTTACACAAATTTTAAGCTCCACACTCACTTGACACGTTCGCTGCAGGTCAGGAATACGCAGCAGTAGTTCCCCAAACTTCGACGGCGTGTCGGGATAGTGGGCCAGGGTGTAGGCCTGCAAGCTCTGCAGCGCCTTTTCCTGGCACTCCCGCACCTTGACCGCCTCCTGCAACTCCGTCGTATCTGGTGGAACACATTTACTTGGTTAGCCAATGTGGTAATTGTGCAGGTTATTACATTTCCTACCTGACTGCAGCAGCACAATCACCTTCATGGCAACATATTCGTAGCGATCAACGCGTAATCGCCTCAGGTGATCCGTCAGATTGAGCATCCGTTCAATGCAGGTCTACAATAAACAAGTTTTCGGATGAAGTTACCAACTCTTAAAAACTTTTAATTATATTAACTTATTTGCATATAGGTAGCTATGACTTTCAAATTGAGACTATCTATTAATTTTCAAGGATTTACTTGTTACTTGTAACAAGCAATTGTCTTTGCCCTATAAATTTAACTTTGATTTCTTTTCGTCGTACGTTGCAAGAAGTCCATTTTGAAATTGCTCCATCAATTGCAACGCGATAGTTCTGGTTTTACGATTCAAAAGTTGAGATTTTGACACAAAAGACAAGGAAATTGTGGTTATCCAAAAAAGTTGAAGATGAAGAAATGAAAGCCTTACTGGATCAGGATTGTTTTTAAAATTAAATCGAATCGAGGAAATTGTGTGCCGAACACCACAGAAATTTGATTAAAAAATATGAATAATTCGGCGTCGAATTCCATAATCTTAAAACCCTGTAATTTGGTCCAAGGAACATGAATTTAATACTGCATAAGACAATCTCCTGAAAAGTAACATTGTAATATTAATTCATCTCTTCTTAAATATCAATATGCTTTCAGCGATGAACGCTAAAAAGAAAGAAAGACTAAATCCTGCGAATCTTCAAGATCTGGGAGTAGCGTGAGATCTACAACGAAGAGTAATTGTTGCTTCAGCGCCATAAAAAATTCGTTTTTGGCATCTTGTTGTTACAGGTGTTAAAAAATAGATTCATACTCGAAGCGTAATAAGTCATATGTGAAGGTCGGGCAACAAGCCAAGTCACCTTCATAGCGGAATAATAATGATGTGTATTTGCTCAATATTTGGTGGGTTTAAACTATTTGTTCTTTAGCTCATAAGCTACCAGAAATATGAAAACAAATCATATATTAACGATAAAGCTGGTAGACAAATAATAAACGCAAGTATAAAAGCTAGTGATTCTGAAAGGCTTTTATGTGTAGATTACTGATCCGAAATCTCAAATATTTGACTTCTAGGTTATTTTTAAGACTTAACAATATCAACATTTTATGTGGGCCAGAGCTGTAGTTTAGCTTAAACCATAGTTTGAACATTTGACTTCAATGTTTAACAAAAAATTCCATTTGGGCCTCAGCCTTATCAAAACTTGAATTTTACGAAGTTCATTTTTGGTTTTTTGTTTTTGATTTTTAGTAGTCTGGTGTGTTACTCCGTTGCAGGTTCAATTGTGCAAGATTGGTTTAATATATAGTAGGACTATAAAAAACCAAGACTATCCAGACATTATATAAATAAGACTTCTACAGATAGAAAAATGAATTCGTAAAAAGCATTTCATTATTTTTTTTTTGAAAATATACATACATTAACAAAGAAAAACAAGGCAAATGTTGGCAAAAAAATAGTTAATATTAAACACTTTTAAGGCTTAACTTACCTGCAAGCCATTTGACTTGGCCTGCGATAGGGTTATCTTCCTGCCCTGTGACATTTTAATCTCGCCGGGAGTGTCGATCGATCGGAAACAGCAGGAGAAGAGCAACAGTTCGCACCAGGAGTTAATGAGCAAGCAGATCTGGTCATCGATCTGGAATGGTTTGAGTTGTACACGAAAATTTGAGGATTGCCCCATAGTGCCTTTACGAACCGAAATGTTCTTGAAGAGCGGCAAGCTCTTGCACCATTTGACAATCTTGTAGAGGCGGTGGTCGGCCACGTTGCACAGATGGGCGATTAGATCGGGATTGGCGTTCTCGCCATTGGACGAGAGGCCGGCGCTGGCCAGCAGTGGATTGGTCAGTTGTGGCTGTGCGTGGGCGCCCGAGGATGCGGCGGACGAGGACGACGATGAGGAGCTGCCGGAGGCGAATGCCGACAGCGGTTGGTTGATGCGTGCCAGCTCGGCATCGGTGTACTGCCACAGATGCTCAACATCCATGATTTCCTAGATGGGTCGATAAGGATTTTGGTTAATTAACAAAAACCTAAGCAAGAATGTATTTAAAAACAAATATTTCCTTGTAATATATTACAAAAATATAAAATAACATTCCTTGGGATCTTCTAAAATTTAGATTGTTCGTTTAAAAAAATTCTAAACAATTGTTTTCTGTAACTGATTTGAGGTTTTAATCTGGAATAGTCACTATTATCAGTGTAAAGCCAGAATTAAACTCCTATATATCGCTTAGAGTATATCGTTTTTAGATTTTGCTGACTTATTTATTACGTTTTGTATTCAACCAACATAAGAGCAATTAAAAACAATGAAGTTTCAATACAATAAAATATATGCAAAACGCTTATTATCTAACGCCAAACAGCACACTATTATCTTGTTTTATTGTTATTCTCGAAGCGCCGAAAAATTAGAGCGCAGAGTTTTGCAGACAACTCAAAAATTAAGTGATAACTCTCCCATTAAGTTTAATGTAACAAAGAACATTGTAAGAACTGAAACCTTTTATTCAAGAGAAATGAGTTGAGACAAAATCGTAGCGGAATTTCTTTACTTTCCACTTTGGCTTTTGAAATCACTCGGAAAGTATGCCACTGTATATTTTCTATGCGGTTGCCCGATGAATTTCTTTCCGAATAACCATATTCTAATATTCATTGCATACTTTTAGACACCTTTGTAAGTGGTTTAAAAATCTTAGCGATTTGTGTAGAATTTCGCTTATAAAACCGTTGTTTCTCTTCCCTAGTAGAGCTGTAAAAACCACGATATTTTCAATAGTGATTGTTTAAACCATCGATCAATCGATACCATCGACCTAAAAACTTTTTTTTTAATTATTAAAATAATTATTATTGTTTTCTTAGTTCTTTGTACTACAGTTAAATTTAATCTAAATAATTAATATTATGAAATCCAACAAATATTAATAACAATATATATATAAATTTAGTTCAGTAGACATTGAGCCAAACAAAAAATGAGATCCCTTCTTTGGAAAGTAAAGAAACATAACATATGGTAAAACAAAAAAATATAAGCGTAGTCCAGCAGCCATCGATTTTTGTTTAGCGTCAAAAGCCTGTTTAAATTCATTGGCTTTAAGGAGACCCTTCTTCTAACTGACATTATTAAGCCGGCTCTGCTTAGCCTCCTCTCAGATTCCGTCGAGGATGCTGTAATGCAGAGGTAGCGCTTGGCCACTTCCACCAAATCCACTCGATTTATCGATGGTGGCAAAAACAATCGATGGCGACCATCGATATTATCGATACTATCGTCGATTGTTGTACAGCGCTACTCCATACTCCCCACTTGTAAGACTCACCTGCAGCAAAGGTGGCACACTTCCGGTCCGCAGGCCATGCTTGCCCGTCTCCGCTGCCTCCTCCGACTTGATGGAAGCTCCCCCCAGACTTGGACTGGCCGGCAGGGAACTCGAGCAGGGGATGGGTACGCCTCCGAAGCCATTCAGCTGATGCAGTCGCTGCTGCTGCTGCTGCTGTTGCTGCTGTTGCTGTTGCTGCTGCTGGGTAGCCACCGCTGCTGCGGCGGCAGCGGCGGCCGCTTGGTCCGGACTGAGCAGCGGACTGAGCAGCGAGTTGGGCAGCGTGTAGGAGCACTGGTACGTGGAGCGGCCACCGCGCGTCCGATCCTCGCGAATCGCCTCCAGCTTCATGCCCTTCTGCAGGCACTTCTCAAAGCGGCAGGCCGGGCACTTCTTGCGCGTCGAGATGCTCACCTGGCAGGGACCGCCGCGCACGCACACATAGTTCTTGCGGTTCTGCACGGTGCGCTTGAAGAAGCCCTTGCAGGACTCGCACGAGAAGATGCCGTAGTGGAAGCCGCTGATCTTGTCGCCGCAGATGGGGCAGGGCGAGTTGATCAGCTGCTGGCGCGAAATGCCCGCCGGCGAGGGCGACGGTGCGTCCAGACCGCCCGAGACGCTGGAGTCCATGCTCAGGTTCTGTGCCTCCTGCCCGCTGGACGACGACGATGACGAGGCCTCCACCTTCAGCGGGCGGTAGAGCACACTGTGCTGCTGATGCTGCTGATGCTGGTGGTGCACCCCACCGTTGCCGTACAGACTGCCGGCGGGCGGGGCGTGCCGCGCCTGGATGGGCGAGTGGGTGGGACTGAACTCGGAGCTGTAGCTGTAGCAGCTGCTGTGCGAGGCGTCGCTGTTGTTGCGGCTCAGCGACGGCGTGTAGGGGGCGTGGCGTGACGTCAGCGGCGACTGCGAGGGCGAGCTGTGCGTATAGACGGAATGTATGGCGGAGTCGGGACTTGGATTCGCCGGCAGCGGCAGGTGGCCGCCGCTACTGGACTTGCTGCGTGCCGCCAGCAGCGGCGAGTTGTCACCCAGCAGCGGTGGCTCAAACTTGAGATTGATCGGATCGCTCTGCGTCGGCGCCAGTTTGATTTTCGACCCAGAATGCGGATGCGAATGCGAGTGGGAATGGGAGTTGGCCATGGGGTAGGACTTGCCCTGCTGCTGCAGCTCGCCGGCAATGTTCTCCAGCTCCGTTTTGATTGGCTGCAGGGCGCAGGTCGGCTGCAGGGGCGTCGGCGTCATCTCGCTCTTGATCGTCGGCTCCATTTCCATCAGTTCCTCGCCGACGTTGGCCTCGGCATCGGCATCGCTCAGCTCACCCTCCCAGGACATGGGTCGCGGTCCGTTCTTGTCCGCCGCCGTTCTACGGCGCACCTTCAGGCTCTCGATGTTCGCCAGTTCCGCCTCCGAGTCGGACTCCTCCTCCTGGCTCGGCTGTCCGCTTAGCGGAATGCGCAGGCTACCGTGTCCGTGTCCGTGTCCATAGCTGGCGATCACCGGCACTAAGTTGCCGTTCGGCGTGGGCAGTTCGTCCAGCTCGCACTTGATGTTCGTCACGGAGACGTTGTGCCGGGAGCCAGTGGCTCCTCCGCCTCCGCTAGAGTGGACCACGCCCAAAGTGGTCGTGGTCGTGGCTGCCACGGCGGTGGTGCACATGTTGACTGGCAGCTGATAGCCGCTGGTTCCTCCCATGGGAGCACTCTGCTGCTCCGCTTTGATGCTGGACATGTTTGGCATGTTGCTTCTGTAGCAATATGGAGTCGACTGCCTTGTGGTTTATGTGTTTATCAAAGACTCTGGACTCTCAGTTGTGCAATTTGTAAAAATTGGAGAGGTGTCGTTGATGCAGTTCCATTGTGTTGTAAAACTTGAATGAAAAAACGGGAGAAATAACGTTAGTTACATGCGGTACTGAAAGAGGTTGCAAAAAAAATAAATTAAAGTTGTACTTATTAAGGTACTAAAAACTTAAAAAAAAAATACATCGTAAGTATAGAAAGGATGACGTGTATAAGACCAAATTAGATTTCCTAATGGTAATGGTAATAGTTTTTTTGAAAACCGAACATTGCGCCATGGCTTTACATATTCAATAAAGATTTTTCATTGGCTAACTTTTTATTAAAAATCTTAATTCGTCAATTTCTAACCTATTCAATTTTTTGAGACTTAAATATTACAATTTTGATTATAATGGCTGACAAAATGTTTATTTTATAGCCTTGTAGAGGGTGAAGGATATATTTCCGACCCTATAAAGAATATATATTCTTGATCAGCAACACTTGGAAAGTCGATCTAGCCATGTCTGTCTGACGTCCGTTTGTCCGTCCGTCCGTTTCTACGCATACTAGTCTCTCAGTTTTAAGCTATCGGAACGAGCAGGACCAGACGACTTTAGCATAAAGCTCCTATAGGAGCAATCATAATTATTTCAGAATTAAAATCGGACGGTATATCATACAGCTTCTATGAGAGCTATGTTTCCATATTTTTTTTTTATATAGTAGTGGTTTAACAAATCAGAATTACCTTCTTAATTTTATTCAAATCGGAAAACGATATCATAGAAACAATCGAATAATTTATCGGAAAATCATCAAAGCTTCGATGTTTTCAAACAAATACACATATAAAATGAAAATTTAATGTTTTGAAGAATATTTTAATTTTTGAAATAGCTGCTTCCTTTTGTGTTAAGATGTTTTAAGTGAACATTGAAAAACTATAGGATTAGAAAGGTTTAAATATATGCAAATAAAATATACACAAAAAACTTACATTGCAGGCTATGAATCACGGTTAATTAGCTATAACAAAAAGAATGTATAAACTTAAGTCCATACTGCAACTTATAGAATTTTTTTTTATATATACATATGCATAAATAGCAATAACCCAACAATGGTTTTCAAAAGTAAAGGTTTGGTTTTTCAAACAAAGAACTTGTAACTGAGAAATTGGTTAATGTTTCTTTCCATAAACCGGGAAAGACAAATGTGTTAAATAATGAATTTAAAACTCTTAAGAGATTTGATTCAGGAACTAAGGTACTACCTTTTATATGAGCACCTCCCACGTTATAATCTCAAGCTTTCATCAAGTTGGACCAGTTCGATTGGGAATTTGTTTCTAGTTGCGCTTCTCCTATTCTATTTATATTTAAATCGTTTCACGTGAACTTTTTGGCAGTGACTCAGTCCGCTTCGTTAGCGGATTTCTCGGACTCTCGAGCGCCTAGCAACGCGAACAAAGGCCCATTATAGGATGGAGATGGCGGGAGAGCCGACCACAATGGGGTCGATGCCACCCCACTACAGCCACCCACCATGGCGACCTTGTCCGACCATCAGCCGCCACTTATGCTAATTGAGTTGACTTGCCAGCCGGCTCTCAAAGAACCGCTCACATTCGGCCGGTTGTTTTGTGTTCATTCACTTCTTATCAGCCGCTCTGCTCGCCCCTGTCCACCCTCCCCTCTCTTGCTATCCCTCTCACTCTGGGCACAAACAATAGCTGGAGCAATATACAACTTTTAGGCAATGGCCAGCAACGTAAAATGTCATCGACCCGCGGCTATGGAACGATGGAGCGATGGAACGACGGGGCGATGAAGCAATCGGCCCGGCAAAAGAAGCGGAAAGTCGATGGGATGGAATTATAATAAATTTAAGGTACAACAACCCAGCGCCACGCAACAGTGCTTGACTCCCGGTTTTTTGGTGGGCAAATGTGATGCGGGATGGATTTCTTTGAGTGCGTATGTATATGTATGTATAGAATTATTAACAGTGGCTTTAAAAGCTAGTCTGCGGATTAGATCAGGCTTTCATTGAGAGGCAAAAGAAAGAATAAAAAAAATATTTTATATAATAAATAGTTTTGTAAACCTCACAAAAGTGGAAAGTTCTTTGCGAACAGATAACTTGTGAGTGAACTTACGCTAGAACCCTGCGAAAATAACTTTACAGTGCAAAATCAGCGGGTATTTATTAATTCAATGCTTTTTATTTTATTTCGTTCAAAATAAAACTCATTTGTACGTCACGGCGTCTGTGTTTGAATTTTCGCCAGTATTGTTTAGTACCTTTGTAAAAAGATTGTTCCACTTCCAGAAAGTTATTGTTCTAGTAAATAAGCTATTGCTGACCGAAATCGGTTAGGCATAATGGAGACAAAAAATATTAGAATGAAAACATGTGAATAACGTTATTAACACTTTAAAAAAATGGAACCATACCAAAATTTTTGAGTGTGGTATTCTGAATCAGGGGTTCAGGGTTTGATCTTTGAAGAATTTTTTCGATTTAAATTTGTAAGCCAGAGAAATTATTACTTCTTAGTATTATTTTTTTTTTATCAAACATAATAATAATTTGTACCATTTTTTTGAAAATAAACATTTTTTAAAAATTTAATACAACTTAAATGTACTAGTCATTGGTACTAAAAAAAAGATCTAATGTGCCCCGCATGTTCTTTAAGACTATAATACACTGTTTAAATACCATTTCAATATAACGAACAAATTCAAAATTTACTTAAAATATCTCATAACATAGTCTTAAAGGTTCCGACCGACAAATAAAGTCAAAATGCCGAAGCTTTTACTTTTCAGTAATTTCAGTAATTTTCAGTATATTTAAAACTCTTCAAACGATTTGTTATTTTTTATTTAAATTATTATATACCTACATATACATATATAAAAACACAACTTCGGAAGTCTGTCTTTATACTATAAATAAATTTAATTAAGTCTGACATATATAATTTGTCCAATAAGTAAGTTTATTACGTTTGCATTTATAGACTAAAGGAGACAATCCTTAGATATTGAATTAAGTAAGTCCATACTCCAACTTATAAAATTTGATATATGTACATACATATACATATGTATATGCAAAAACTGACATAATTAGTCCAATAAGTAAGTTTATTACGTTTGCATTTATCGAATAAAGGAGACAATCCTTAGATTTTGAATTAAGTTAGCTTAGCTTCGTTTCTTGTAATCCAAAAAATGCATTGAGTTTCCCTTAAAATGCGCCCATATTCGTCAATGATCCCATTCGACCCCAAATTGTTATGTTTAGCGGATACTACAACCAACGCACTGCGCCAAGACAAAACCGAGGCAGCCACAAAGAGGGATAATCGAAAAGAGCCAGCCGTAAAGAAGAGAGAGAGAGAGAGAGAACGACTAAGAAGCGACGCGCAGAACGCAGAACAAGCAAAGGACGACCTTCAAATAATGTTGAATTTTGTACGCAAACGACCTTGCATAAAACAACAACAACCACGACGGCGGCGAAGCAAACCACGAAGAAGAAGACGAAGCAACGAAGGCAGCTCCACACACACACCCACACTTAACAAGAGAGAGACACACCGACAGGGTAAGACGGACACATGCGCCGCCGGTGACAGAAGAGGGGGCAGAGAAAGGGAGAAAGAGAGAGCGTTGTTATTGTCTTTACTTTTGGGGTTAGAGAAAGAACAGAAATATTCTTGGGGACGTGCTGCATGTGTGTGTGAGTGAAAAATTAGCACAAAACAAAACAAACAAAATTGGTTGTACATCTATGTACATATGTAAGTTCAATGTACATACATACTTACATATGTACATACATATGTACATATGTATGAGAAAAGAACGCGCTAAGTTTACGTGGGTGCGCCACAAAAGCGAAAGAGAGAGAGAGAGGCGGAGATTGAGTGGTCAGCATTTGGATTTTGAGGATTTTGGCTTTCAGGGAAGTACTCATTCAATGGACTTGGTCTGAGGTTTCGAGGGCACTTAGAGCCCAACAAATGCATCCAAGCGAGGTTCGATGCTGACTTCCCTTTCGGCCCCTCGGCCCCTCGGCCTCTCGGTCTTTCTGTTTCCGGTTTTCTGTTTTCGCCCAGTTGGGGATAGAATTGAACCCACACAGATGGACCTCTGTTGTTGTTGCTGAGAAATTAAGGCCTTCTCAGGCGGAAGTGTTCATACACTTGGTGTTTGGTTATTAGAGGGAGGTATCGGTATCGATTGATGGATTGCAAACTGAATTGAATGGGACTTTGCGATTACATTCATCTCTTTTACTCTATATCTTATGTCCTTTATGATGGGCACAATTACACTGGTTTACAAATTCAAAGCGATGAAAGCCCAGAGATCAAACCTTGATTTTCCAGTGCAGATCGACTCCCTGATTAAAAAAAAGTATACTCCAAATTTTTTTCATGGTAACATTTTTTTTAAAAGTATTTTATCTGTATTTCATTTTTTATATTCAGTTCTGCTTAACCGATTTCGGTCATCTATAGCATATAGTACTAAAAATAGATCATTCTTTAACTTTCCCATACATTTTATAAGGATATGTTTTTTAATATAAATGCTAGAGCTCGACAAAGTTTAAACCAATTACTAAAACTGAAGTTCCGACAACATAAATTAATTAAAAAAAAAAATACACGCCTTAAAACCTAAAATAATCTTAATAATAAATTTAAGAAAGCGTTTAAAAAGCGTTTCCAACCCTATAAATTATATATATTGTTGATTGGGATCAATAGCCTTGTCGATCTAGTTTGGCAAGCAATATTGGAAGTAATTCTCCAAGGACCCATTTAAAAGTATTAAATTGCAGTAAAATGAACTTTTACTGCAATTTGACAAGCCCCTGCAGAATATATTAAACTTAAATACGACGTTTGGCCAGATATGTGGGGGTAAACTAAGGGCACGACAGTCCACTGACCGAGAACCCACCCATCAGAGCAGCAGGGTAGGGCTCCACGCCCACTCCGCGTTGGCTGGCTGTCGTCTATCGATTTTTATCGGGCTCTGACTTTGACAGCCCATCGAAG